ATAAAAAAAATCATGGGATAAACTGGATTGGAAGTGCTCAATAAATATCAGGGCCTTTCTCTCCAACATTCTCTTTCAGACTAAGAGGGTGGGGCCACAAACCAATGAGATAAGTTTCCTTGTATAGCTTGTGGATATTGTCTTACTAATTTAAGGCTTAAATGGATGTTGATTTTAGTTGACTTTATTATATTGTCTAGTAAATCTATTAATTACGAATCTATATAAAGTCAATTATATGCATACATATGTATCGATACCTAGTACACATACAGAGAAATTCTGTACTACCTATACTGGCAGGAAAGCTTATCTCCAAAGAGACCCCAGTGAACCAACTCCCCCAAGCATTCAATCCTTGAGTCTGGGCTGGCTCTGTGACCAATTCAATTCACAGCCAACTGAATACAATGAAACTAGGGCCAGTTTCCGGGCCCAGACTGCAAAAGACTGGCAGCCTCCACTTCCTATATCTTGAAACACTAACTTGTAGAGCCCTGAACCGCCATGTAAGAAGACCAACTATGCCTCACCACCTTCCTTTGTTCCAGCTTCCCACTATTTAAAGCATCACAGATGAATCTCCACGCAACATGGAGCAGAGATGCATCATCCCTCCTGTGCCCCAAATTCCTAATCCACAGAATCATAGATAACAGTAATAATAATAAAATATTTTCAGCCACTAAGTTTTGGGGTAGTTTTGAATGTAGCAATAGATATTTGGAACAGCCAGGAAAAGCCTGGGCACAGCTGAATATTGTCACTGGGAGCAGAGAGCTGCAGCTACTACCATGGTGCTGCTGCTAGAACACACACACTGGCCATTGATCCGTGAGTCTGAGTGGAACTAAGAATTCAAGAAGGCCGGCATGACTTAAAGGAAGCAGGCAAGGGAAGGGTGGTGTCACCATGGTGTCAAGACTCACACCAGCTCTGACTCACAGTCTGGAAAGCAATGATTATGAGCAGAGCAGCTGGGAGGCCCAGATCTGCTCCATCTACACACAAGGCTCCTTGAGTGCCGAGCTCAGCATCACCTGCAAGGCTTCCTGAAGGTGAAACAGAGAATTAGGATCTGCAGCAGCAAGGTCTTGGAGCAAAGCCAGGTGTCTGGGCCTGGATGAATACTCATCACTGCACATGTGTGCATATAAAACACAGATCACACCATGACTTGCAAGTGCTCCTCGGGTGGTAAGCCAGAATGAGGAAATTACAGACTGGGCAAGCATAGCTCATGTTTTAATAGTACCCTGAAGTTCTACTTGTCCCCTCCCAGTCCCGCTAGGCACTTCCCGCTAGGAAGCCTCAATAGCAGCAGAATGTGCCAGCACAATGCACACTGCTATAAAAAATGTAGCATCCTTTGGAGCAGAGACTCAGAGAGGAAAACAGTGTCGGAGGTACTAGCACTAATGCCAGACTGATAACCAACTACCATGTGAATAACTGCACTGAGAAGGAGCTGCATTCATCCGGCCTCTTCAGCTACATCTGCACATTCAGACATAAGCACCAAGCAAGTATTGAGCACTTACCCTGTATCCCATGTTCTTCTGGAGTCCTTGGAGGGTGGGATCAAATTTCTGAAAAACAAGGAACTAGCAATCAACCACTAAATGTCTACACAAGGCACACACTGTGATTCAATTAGCAAACACTACCAGATTCAATAACTGAGGGCTTTATTCCAGTGAACAAGTATTATTTTTTTAAAGATTTTATTTATTTATTTGACAGAGAGAGACACAGCAAGAGAGGGAACACAAGCAGGGGGAGTAGGAGAGGGAGAAGCAGGCTTCCCACTGAGCAGGGAGCCCGATGCGGGGCTCCATCCCAGGATCCTGGGATCATGACCTGAGCCGAAGGCAGACACTTAACAACTGAGCCACCCATGCACCCCAATGAACAAGTATTTTTTAAAGTACCTCCTATTTGTCAAGTACTGTTCAAGGAGTTTAAGATCTAATGGGGAGTCAAGACACTTGGAAATTACGTACATCATAAAGAAAACTAAGTTCCATCGGGAAATACAGAAGGAAGGGAATAATTTTGACTGGAGGATCTGGGAAGTTTTCATGAAACAGCTGACTTGTGAACTGAGACTAAAAGTCAGATTAGAAGAATTTCAGGAAGTAGAAGTGAAGGAAGCATGCATTCAAGGACAAGAGAATGAAATAAATGGAAGGTGTGGGGGAGGGTATTGGGAGGCAAAGCTGGAGGGGAGTTGGGGCCACACTATAAAAGGCCTTGAATGCCATGCTAAGACAAGTAGAATTAAGTGTATTATTAGGCAGTGCTAAAGTGTGAGGTACTGGGAACTACCAAAGACCAATTCAGAACAATAGAAAAATACATGCAAATGAACAAAAAAGTATTTCTGCCTCAAACTGCAAGCCACTAGCACCAGAGTAACTTCACATCCTTCTGCATAATCGGCATGACCAGGAGGGTGGGGACTGGGTCCCTCACGGTCACTGCTCCATCCCAGCTCCTCTCAGGGCTGTTGTGCACTGTGAACATATTTATTAAAAGAGGAGTAAATTAATTCTTCCCTGTCTACCCAAGTTGAAAATTGCTTTTTTGTAGCATAACATATTGCTTGCTCCTATAGACATTTATGTGCTGTGGTGTTTTTCTTTGATATTTTAAGTAATGTATGGGCAGGGACAAGGCTGTATCTATTCAAATACCCCCTGAAACCTAGCAGAGAACCTTGCAAACTAGTTACTCATTATTTGTTCAGTGTATAAATAATATGGAAGATAAAATAGTCTTATTATATTACATCAACATGTTATTCTAGGCCAAAAAGAGAACAATCTAAGTTTGCTGTTCCACATCTGGTAATGTATATTAAAGAAATGAAATCACTACCTCAAAGGGGTATCTGCATCCCTATATTCACAGCAGCATTATCTACATTAGCCATGACATGTATATAACCTAAGTATCCACTGACAGATGAATGAATAAAGAAAATGTAATGTATATAATGGAATACTATCCAGCCACAGAAAAGAAGGAAATCTTGGCATTTGTAGCAGCATGGATGGACCATGAGGGCATTAATGCTAAGGGAGGTAAGACAGAAGAAAAAAACACTGATCACACTTATATGTAAAATCTAAAAAAAAAGGAAAAAGAAACCCAAACTCACAAATACAGAGAATGGATTGGTGGTTGCAGAGGTGGGGTTTGGGAGGTGGGGAAAATAGATGAAGGTAGTTAAAAGGTACAAACTCTCAGTAATAAGATAAATAAGTCCTGGGGATTTAATGTACAGCATGGTAACGATAGTTAAGAATACTGTACTGTATATCTGAAAGTTGCTAAGAGAGTAGATCGTTTTTAAAAAAATTAATCAATTTACTTAAACTAAAAAAAAGTAGAACGTAAAGTTCTCATTACAAGAAAAAATTTATAAATATGTGAGATGATGGATGTTAACTAAACTTACTGTGGTAATCATGTTTTTAGAAGATTTTATTTATTTATTTTAGAGAGAGAGAGCGCATGCATGAGCAGGGGGAGGGGCAGAGGAAGAAAGAGAATCTCAAGCAGACTCTGCACTGAGCACGAAGCCTGACACAGGGCTTGGTCTCAGGACCCTGAGATCATGACCTGAGCTGAAATCAAGAGTCTGGTGCTTAACCAACTGAGCCACCCAGGTGGCAGCTAATCGTTTAATGGTAATTAAATTGTGGTAATCATTTAATAACATATACATATATCAAATCATTACGTTGTACACTTAAAACTAAGACAATGTTGGGGTGCCTGGGTGGCTCAGTCAGTGGCTCACTCTCTAAAATAAATAAATCTTTAAAAAAAAAAGACAATGTTATATGTCAATTATGTCTCAGTAAAACTGGAAGTTAATTAATTATTTGCCATCATTTCTGATATCATTTATGGTCTTTGTTTTTTGTTCAACACTTAACAACAAAGAGATAGTTCCCATATATTTTTTCACCCCTTTGTCATCCACAAAATGCATCCTTTTTTCCTTAGGAATCTGACCTGGAGTCTACTTAAATGAGTCTTCTCTTTTTCATTTCCTAGTATAACTTGATTCCTCAGACAAATTTTCTCACCTCCTTCCTACACCTACCTCCTGGATCTTTTTGTGAGGGCAAATGGCCTTCTCGAACATCTTTCCCTAAATAAATGTCCAGCTCTTCAACTACTTTGCTCTTCTATCTTGTTTCCATGGATTCTTTTCAGTTAGTCCCAAAGTGTGTGAAAACTTTTTTAAAAGGTCATTTTGCTAATAGGCTATTCACTTTTTCTTAGTCTCCAAGTTAAATTCTATCAGCTTGTGATCATATTGACCAAACCTCCCTACAGTTTAATGCACTCTCTCTGCACGCTTTGAACTGGGAGAGTTTCCTGCCCTACTCAATTGTTTTTTCTTCTAATTGTTGTCCCCACACAACTACTAGCACAGATTTTTAGCTGGACTAAAATCAAATTGCTTGCTAGAGGTATAATGCTGTCTGTGAGCTTCACTTTTAAAAGTGCAAGACAGGGGCCCCTGGATGGTTCAGTGTTGAGCAACTGGCTCTTGATTTCTGCTTGGGTCATGGTCTTGGGGTTGTGAGATGGAGCCCTGCATTGGGCTCTGCACTCAGTGTGGAGTCTGCTTGAGATTCTCTCTCCCTCTCCCCCAACCGCCCCCACCCCATGCTCTCTAAATAAATAAATAAAATCTTTTTTTTTTTTAGGCAGGTGAAACAATTTTATTTCACAGTTGTCTTTAAACCCACAAAGACACTATGTTCTTCATATAAAAACATCAGTACAGATACCTATACTTTCCAGAAAATGATTATATAGACCCTTTCTTAAAGAAAAATGCACACCATTATATGGTTTCAGACAAGTTGCTAGGGAAAAACACATCTGGACTGATTCCTACACATAGATTATTGTCATCAGCACATGTTCCTGCATTCTTACAGATTTGATAATAAACATACAGACTGGCTTGTAACTTAATGTTCCATTGGTTCATCAGCCTTTTCTGCAGGTTCATCAGCAGGTTGAGCAGGCTGTGCCTTTCTCTGTGGTCTTTCTTCAAGACCTTCCAGGAATGGAGATACATCATCATCATCATAAATCGTAAACGCCAAGTCTTTACCAACAATTCCAATGGAAACATTCTTTGTAGTTAGGTCCTGTTCTGCAGGAGTGTCTCTCGTAAGGCACGCAGACCATGTTTAACCAGTTCATTCAAATTGCACTCCATAAACCCAGACATGTGTCTCTCCAAGTAAGTACGAGCTGATTGAGAACGGGCTCCAATGGACACGGCTCTACAGTCAAAATAGTTGGCAGATGGACAGGTTTGGAAAATGTGAGGGCCCATATCATCATAATCAGCAATAAGCAGCCCAACACCATATGGTCTCCGGCCATATTGTTGTGTTGGTATCTGGGTCTTGCTTCGAATTAGAGATACAAGACAAGACACAGGAAGAAGTCTGTCAAATACAAATCTGGAATCCAAACACTCTTGGCACATAAAATTACGTAACAGTCTAGCATCAGCAGTAAGTCCCGCAATTGAGATACCAATATGGTTGTCAACATGGAGAATTTTTTTCTGATGAGCTGCAAGCTCTGATTGTGCTCTCTTCAATGCAACCAACACTGCATGGGTTTTTGATTTCAGACCAACTGTGGCTGAACCTTACTGACAGCTTCCATTGCATACTCAATTTGATGAATCCTGCCCTGAGGGCTCCAAACAGTGACATCATTGTCATACTGGTTGCGAAACATGGTTCCGGTGCGGGTCTGCCTGCGGCCTCCTGCAAAAATATGGGCTCAGGAGGGTTGCCGAAACTACCACTCAGCGATCTACCATAAATAAAATCTTTTAAAAATAAAATAAAAAGATAAAAAGAGGAAGACACTGCCTACAGAGAATGTCATAAGACATTCTATAGAACTTAGAATAGTGGTCTTTGTACTTTTTCCTCATGTATTTCCTAAAATAATTTCTTTAAACTATGTATTAAATTTTACCTAAGTTGATACCTAAATTTTGTCATCATAAATGTAATTAGTTGAAAGAATATTATATCCAGTGCACTGTAAGTGTTGGCATTATAAAATAAAAGTGATATCGCTGCTTTATACCCCACAGTATCTAAATGCTGAAGCCTATGATCATCTACTTATACAAATGTGAAGTCATTTTATATCCTTCTTTTTTCTCCTGAAACTCGTATTTCCATTCCATTTTCCTCTCAGCATTTCATCTTACTCTAAGGTATTTTTATGCTTGAAATTCTTTTGTTGATTGTCCTATTTCTCTCATCAAAATATGCACATAAATTTAAATTTTTCCTTTTGACCATAAAGCCTTATAAATGTTAAAAATTATTTTGAATTAAGTTATTACAATTATTAATATAGAATCAATATAACTCGATTGTAATCTTTTATAAATAAATATTAAATAAAACATATGCACCTCAATAAAGATGGAGGTGGATATTTTAAGTGTTTCAGTGTGGTTTGGTTTGGTTTGTTAATTCTTGTATCTGAGATCACTATTATTTGTTGCTAGAAGAGAGCATGCAGCATTCTTTTGGGTTGCTGGACCCAACTGGGGGAAGGTGCGGTTTTCTCCAAACCAATGAACGATTCTCTGACAGGAGCTGGGTGTCCTACAATTTAACCCAATTCTGACATTATCTACCCAAACACAGCATCAGATTTCCAGGTTGAGAACTCAGTCCCACAAGACTGCCCCTCACCCCCTTCAGAGGCCAGTCACAAGCCCAGGTTATTATCTATGCTTCTGACTGTCATTATGTCAGAGGTTCCCACAACCCCCTCCCCGGGTTCAATTAATTTTCTTCAAGGGCTCACAGAATTCAGAGAAACATTTTACTTACTAGATGACCAGTTTATTGTAAAAGGCTATAACTCAGGAATAGTCAGATGGAGGAGATGCATAGGGCAAGGTATGGGGAAAGAGCACGGAGCCCTGATAACCTTATAACTTACAGCATTTTGAACATCCCAAATTATAGTTTGACAATCAACCAAATGGGAACAGAAGAGATCTTGTTGTCCATTCCATTTCCACTCCCACTGGAATAAAGTGAAGTAATCATGTGTCCACCAAAGGCCAGAAGAATTAAATGTTGGGTGAGATTTAACATCAGTACTCTGAAGTGAGACTGGCCCCAGTGTGTCTGGGCACAGCTTCTACACAGCTCAGCTTTCTTAGAGCCTGATGTGAAATGACTCACTTCACAAGACCCTCCCAAAGGAATGAAAACAGAGCAGTGGACAAGACAAGGAAGTCCACTGACAGCGTCACACTCTGTAAATGGAAGAGTGGGAGTGCTGCTAGACATCAGAAAGCACCAGAAAAACAAAACTGTGGGGAGACAAGGGCAAGATGGGGGGTCCCAGGCACCAGAAGGCAGGCTCGGCTACCTTGGAGCCCATCTCCTTGTGGCTGCCTTTACACTATTTCCTGCTTCCTCAGACTGAACTTTCTAGAATAACAAAGCCACTGTTAAAATCATTCATACTTATGATCACAGTGAGAGGAAAAAGGCAATCTTATACCACTGGTGGATGTCCAGGGTGCAGAAGCATATGTATAAATATGTCTCAAAAGCTTCAAAATAGCACATGTTTGACCAAACAATTCCACCCCCAGAATTCTCATAAGAGGAAATAACCAGGGAAGTGCACAAAGATGTAAGTGTACAGAAATGCTCCCTATCATATTATTACAGGAGCAAAAACTTGAAAAATAAAAAAACTAAATGTCCAACCATACGGAAATGATCAAATTTGTTTTGGTAAATAATCAAATTAACACCATGAACTATTATGGGCAATTAAAAATGATAATATGAGGGGCACCTGGGTGGCTCAGTCATTAAGCATCTGCCTTCAGCTCAGGTCATGATCCCCGGGTCCTGGGATCGAGCCCCGCATCGGGCTCCCTGCTCCGCGGAGAGCATGCTTCTCCCTCTCCCACTCCCCCTGCTTGTGCTCCCT